GCACATAGCTATTTATTATTAGCATTATTCTTCCGACGTCTGATTTCTGTTTAATTATAGGAAATGTGTTTTTCTAAGGTACATAAACTTTTGGGATTGACCGTATAGCCAATACATCCTTAATAAATGTTTAGTTAACGAACCTGTACAGAGAAGAACACTTTAAAATGAACCAAGCTTTTGCCCAAGCACCGCCGGCGCCTCGCGTGCGATACGTCAACCATCCTTCCAGATCACCGGGCCCTATATCTTTAACGGAAATGTTCCTCTTTTCTGAACAAACAAGGATGAAATGCAGTCTTTTTTCTGACTGTAATGAAATGTACCGATTCAATGACCAGTACGTTTTCACTACTTACTCGCAAATAGCATGCTCCGTTTCCTATTACTTCTGGGACTGTTACTGGAAGATTTGCTTAAACTTCCGTGCAATCCGATACTTCGTGCTACCATCATAGCTTTGTTAACTACGCCTCTTTCGGAAGTTTTTTCTTTATCAGATACTTTGGACTTGTGATCTTGAAACTGCTTGGAAGAGCACGAACCATCCGGGGAATCCGTGGCTCGGTAATACGACTCGGCATTGTGGTATTCCACCAAGTTACTATAAGTAGACTTCTCGGATTCATATTTATCACAGACAGATTTGTTTTCTTTAATTTGCTTATCATTGTATTCTAAGCAAGATGAATCTAAGTTCGAACTAGATCCGCGCTCGCTGTCTAAGCCGTTCGCGTCGTCGATAAATTCTAAGTTCTCCGTAAAACTATTACAAGCAAGAAAGTAATCCTGATGATCTACATTAGTTTTGATATGATTTTCCGTGTAATATTCCGCTCGCTTTGACTCTTTCCTGGCGGTAGGCTTCTCCGGTGCATAGAATTTCTCTTGATCGTCGTATATCTTCGAGGTATTATTTATAGGCGAAGAGTTGACCGTTAACTTCGAATAATATTTACGCGGAGGTGGATCGGGGGGTGTTAAATGAGGTTTGGTCTCCAGCTTCTTGCTGGATTCAGGTTTCTGTAGTTCCATATACTTGCAGGATTGCATCGGGTTCCCCTGGTTGATCGGATCCTCGGCTTTTGTGTCATCATTCTGTGCTTGACAAATCCGAATTTGAGGAATGTTTCGAGTAGTACTTTGCGCATCATTTTCAATAGAATCCGCATCGTTCTTTGACCGCGCTTGTTCTTGCCCGTATATTCTCTCTTTCGCTGGTACATTCAATTTTTTCTCTGTCAACTTCGTATGTCTTGTAGAACCGCCAGCATTAAAAGTCTGTAATATCCTTTCAAATTTGTTCAGACTCAAGTCATTTTCGCTATCGTCCTGCACGCAATCTTCATTCGTTTCATTAGTCGAATTGTTTACTGAATTTTTAACGCTATGCTCTTTTGATACACGTTCCGTATCAATTGTTAAATTATTCGTCGCGTTTTTCTTTTCGTATTTACTTATATTATTAACGCATTCGTTATTGCTTTGGTTTTCTTCCATACTGAGCTTCTGATCCGCATCCGTCGTCTTGCATAAAGAAGTTCCAAGCAATTCTGGATGCTTAGACGATTGTTTCTCCTCGTCATCTGGCACCGTGTGGTTGTCAGTAACTTTAATATCGGGATTCCCTTGAGTAGTTTGTTTCTTACCAGCAGCGTCCCTTGATCTTTGCTGGTCAGCGGAAGTCGGCTGATCATCAGTCTTAGTAGATACATTGCTTACGTTATTCGCGGACGAATCTAACATACAAAACAACTTCTGCCTCCTGTCTTCAATATTGTCAGCGTCCATCGAATCGTACGCTGGCGTACTGTAACTCTTGTCTAATCTTCCTCGCTCCTTACATATATTACGCTCGTTATTCTTACTATTACTATGTTTATTCCTAATAAAATTGTTGCACTCATCTAAAGGCACGCTCGTATCACTCAGCTCATTTTTAATGGTAACATTAGCGAACGATTGGCTAACAGTATTTACAGTACTAGTAGTTAACTCAGAATTTGAAGTAGTTCTGTATTCATCTTTCTTCTCGTACGTTACACTGGCCGTATTGTCTACTTGAGGAACATCAGTTTTTGTAGTTCTATCTTGAAACTGCACTCTCTTATCGTCGGTCTGTCCGTCGCTTCTTTTCTTTCTCTTACTCTGTTCCACGCTAACACACGTTTGCGATCGGATATTCGTTTGTACGTTGTCTAAACCGTGAGCACAAGACGCAGCTTTGTCCCGCAGCTGCGAAGTAGTATTGTGCTCTTGTTTCAGCTCTTTCCAAAATTGTTCTATGTCAATCCCATGCTTGGTAGTAGGACTAGCACCAGTTATAGTAGCTCGTCTTTGGACCGAGCTCCTTGGCTTCGTCGAGTACAATCGAATGGACAACGGTGGTTCCGTTTCACTGTCAGAATCGCTACTATCTATTATCATTGTATCTAAAATACTTGCCGGTTCTGGACTCGGATTCTTTGGCCTACACAAATTTAAACACTGGTTTAATAAGGTTCCTCTCCCTTAAAAACAACTCGATTTGAATTTTAACACACCTTGGTAGCGGCACCGTGAAATCTGGTATAGTTAATAATTCTGGCCTAGGCGATGGAAGATTGTGTTGCCATCGTGTCGTATAAGAGATCTTTTTATTGCTCGGGAGTCGGTACGGTTTTATGTAAATTTGTCCATAGATTTTAGTGTGCCTCGGCCTACGTTTCAGAGTTAGCAATATCTCCGCAGGACTTTCACGGAACAGTCCCAAAAGGTTCTTTCGTTCCCACCCAACCACTGTTTGATAGTTCACCTACGATACGGTTTAGTTAAACGAAATAGAATTGTGTATCGAAAATTAATAGAAACTACCTGAACAATCTCGTCTCCCTCTTCCATTTTGCCGCACTGATGTGCAGCTGATCCGAATTTTATTTCAGCAATTTGATGAGCACCATGGAATGATGGTAAAATATAGAATCCCTACGAAAGCAACAATTGTCCGTATGAAAATGACGTTTTCGTAACAGCGTAGGATGTAGCATTTATCTCAACAGGAAGTCAAAGTTGTGTTTTATCTCGAAAGGATGTAGCAGATAATTTTTCTGACAATGATTACGAGTTTACGTTCGGGTCGAACTAATATTGTAAAATATGGAAGCTTACCAAGTCATCTCCTGGTTTTTTTTTCAGCGTGGCCAAATCTAAAGTAGCTGGTTGCAATATCATAGGGTCCGCGATATCCTGTATTATGTAATCCGCCAATTTTCCTAATTGCCCGCAGATCGTTCTAATTTCTTCTATAGGCTTCTCCGCGAATCTGTCTCTTTGTGCGCATGTAGCCATCTCCAAAGCTAGTTTCATTAATTCAGCTTTCTTATCGTTATACTCCAATTGCCCGCTAAACGGAGGTCGATCGAGCCATCTAACCAGCGGCTTCACAGCCGTTATAACAGATGCTACGTCAGACAATGTCTGAGTAGTTACAGGTTTGGAATCTGTCTGGCGAGACAATTCATTTTGCAAACTATGAGCTTGACAGGACAATCGTAACGCCAATAATTGTAAATTCTCTCTATCGAGTTCATAATGAAAATTCCTCAAATATTCTACAGCCTCGAGTATAATTTCTTGATGACCAAGTTTCAGTACTCCAAGGTATTCTAAGTCTTCGGGTCTCAAGCTTAATAACTGCTGCCCGTTTACACCATGATTCGTAAAACTATGCACGTAAGGAAGCACAGAATTGTCCAAACCTGAAGTACAATTGAAAAATTTTGTTATGCGAAATCACCCTCCTCAATAACTATATTGTCACCGAGGCATTAGAAAAAGTATTAAAGAATGGGAAGAAAGAGATGTTTCGTTACTGTGTTCGTGATAATTTCATTCAGTTTGAAATTCATACAAGGGCAATTGTCATTTAAATCGTGAATTACATGCAAATGAAATGACTTAAATGGCAAGTGAAATAATGCAGATAGTGTGATTACAATTAAATGCGTTCTTGGAAATAATATATATGTATACGTCGCTTACGAATTATACGATTCTGATTGTTGCAGATAATTGAAACAAATGAATACTGTTTTAAGTTGAAGTGTACGATGAAAAGCGAAGGTGGAGAGGCGAGGCAAGTGATGAGACGAAGTGATCCAAGAGGATTTTCACACGCAAATTTTCACGGTACATCTCTTTGCAGATAAAAGGTATTCACGATTTCTCGCGACGCCTCGAGAAAAGCACTTGATCTCTCCAAAAGAGACACGAATTTTCCGCACCTTTTAACCACTCGCATACTTGCTCAGTTTTCCATTCAGCGACATTTACATACGCCATGGCCCGATCACGTATTTAATTCACAAAATCCTTTATTGCTGAAGATATTCTGTTCTGGTTAATAGTCGGGCTCTGCTCGTCCTCGGTCGTGTTGTTCCAATTTCCAGGCTGCCCGTCGATAACTACTACATGTTACTACAGAGCCAAATGACAGCGACTATACTTAAGTATGCCGACTGCTGAGTATACCATGCGAGACAATGTATTATTTTTCTTTTCTGCTTTGTAAGATTGTAATCCTTTATTACGATTTCCATTTCGTTCACTTTATCAATAAATTATGATGTGAAATCTTACGACCTGTTTACTTAATTAAATGCCTTCCTTTTTCTTAAACAATTTATGGTTCTCTAACGATCGACCATTATGTGACGTCGTCAAGAGATCGAAAGAATTGATCTTTGATCTAGTACTTATTGTATTTAATTATTATTGAAATAGGTTCCTCTCATATTCCGACCAGATAAAAATAATTTGTCTAGACTCCCAAAGAGTATGTTGAATCAATGTTTCTCGCATTTAGCAGACTCATGAATAATAGTTTGATGAAATTGTAGCTCATATATTTATTCCACGTACATTTTATTGAAATGCAATAAGGTAGAACTTAAAATAAGATTTATACATAGATTATGTACACGTTACGCATAGATAAACCTATCTTTTATAGACTAAATTCGTTATGTACAACATATAAGGCAAATGCTTAATTGTATGAATCGAAAGCTTTACTTTCCAGTGAAAAACTTTAAATACACGATGATGCCGAGTATAGCTACTTCTAACATTATAATCAGTATCAGTACAAACTTATTCATTAGAACTCTTCGTCGCATAAGATTCAATATCTTTCTTGTTTTGTTTAATTCCTCATCTGTCTGAGACAGCCTCCTCTTGACTCGCAATAATTGTTCCCTTTGCCCACTCAATTCAGTGATCACCTCTGTTCCTATTTGCTCGCTCTCAATAATAACTGCTTGAGATCTGGCAATGGATTGGGAGGTTCGTTCCAATGTAGCGTTCCCTTCCAGCAACAACTGACGATGTTCATCGTCCCAATTGATTCCGACATTCATCGTGACAATATTGACAGATATATTCACGAAGAAAAGAACGAGATTCCTTTATACCACAAGGTCCATCATGATATCTACAAATTCTGTTTGATTAACTGAAACAGTAAATGTGATTTTATTTATAAGAATACGAAATCGCACTTAAAGGTAAAATCCTTTTACTAGCATCGTCTTGATCTGTATCGAATTCTGTGATCATAAGCTCCATCTCCTCGTTAGTCAAATTGCAATTTAGCTTTTGATTAAGCTCTTGTAAGTCTCCTAATGTTATCTTGCCATTCGCGTCGTTTGCAAATAATTTAAAGGCATATTTAATTTCATCGAAGGGATTTCGCTTGTTTAACTTTTCCGACACTATGAAAATTTAAGATTAGCTATACGTAAGAATACGCATATTCTTTGAAACACACCAACGTAGTTAAAATCATCGAAGGAAATCTTATTGGAATTGTACTTATCGTACATTCGTATCACAGATAAAACGTAAGACTTTTTTACTTCGAGACCCAGAGCTCTCAAAGCAGCTTTCATTTCATTGTAATCTAAATAACCGTCAGCATCGCTGTCCATTAAACAGAACGATTCTTTCAGACGTTTCTTTATACCATTCGTCAAACTGTTTTTTACGACGTTTGACATTTTGAAGATAACTAATGAGGATCAAAGCGTTATACCTTTTAATTGTTTCTTAGGATAGATAAATTCCGATGAAATGATTCACTTTTTTCGCTGTCAAAGATTATATACAACTTCATTTAAAACATATACTTGTTTTACATGGATATATGTTGCACTTTATGAAGTTTGTGTACGGATACTTCTTTATGTAGAGATAATAAATCATTCCTTTCGTGTATTGTGAAAACTATAATATATGCTCACCTATATATCGAAAATTATTATTGTTGTTGATGTTGATATTGCTAAGCTCTGAAGTTATACTCAGCGGAATCAAGTTATCCAACATGTGTACTCGAAACTTGCTCGAAACTAGCGGTAGTTTCCTGTCTATAAGAATTTTCTGTGTTGTGGTCGTATTTTCGCGTTTATTCCGTTCACGCACGTTTACTTCTGTTTAATACGTACAAAACTGTTTGTAAAATGTGTTAATAAACGTAAACTACTGATCTTTTAACGTAAATTTTTTGAGAAAGGCATCGAAAGAGATGCCAGCTCAAGAGGTGGCTGTTCTTCAGCCTCCGAGCAATGAAACTAACGAGGAAAACGGTAATAACAATGCACCGTCGTCCCAACCAATTGTTGGGATCATTTATCCACCGCCAGAAGTTAGAAGTATCCTTTAACGATAATAAAGCTAATTAAAAATAATCAGGAGGAAGTAGTTTTCTTTAATGCGGTATAATAGACATCGTTGACAAGACAGCGAGTTTCGTTGCGAGGAATGGACCCGAATTCGAGTCCAGAATCAGGCAGAATGAGCTTGGGAATCCAAAGTTCAATTTCCTCAATTTTGGAGATCCGTACCATGCATATTATCAGCACAAAGTGAAAGAGTTTAAAGAGGGAAAAGGACTAGAGCCTAATAGTAATTCGATACTTAATCAAGGAAAGGGTATTAATTTGGCTGCACATCAAAAGCAGCAAGAGATATTGAAGCAGGTGGAACAGCAGTTTGTTCCTAAGGATCCTCCTGCCAATTTTGAGTTTATAGCAGATCCACCGTCGATATCAGCTTTGGACTTGGACATTCTCAAACTGACTGCACAATTCGCTGCCCGAAATGGAAGACAATTTTTAACTAATTTAATGACGAGGGAGCAAAGAAATTTTCAATTCGATTTCTTGAGACCACAACATTCTCTGTTCCAATATTTCATAAAGCTATTGGAGCAGTATACTAAGGTTTTGATCCCCCCGAATGGTTTACTTCCTCGACTTAAAGATGAAGCTTCTAACATGGATAAAATCTTGGAGCAAGTCAAATACAGAGCCGAGTGGCTCAAGTATCAGGAAGCTCAAAGACGTAAGGAGGAAGAGGAATTGGAAAGAGAGAGGGTAGCTTATGCCCAGATAGATTGGCATGATTTTGTAGTAGTGGAGACGGTGGATTATCAGCAATTTGAAGTTGGCAATTTTCCTGCTCCAACCACTCCCGACGAGGTCGGAGCTCGCGTTCTCATGCAGGAGAGAATAGAAGAAGGGGAAGATGTGGAAATGCAGATAGACAGTGATGGGGACGACGACGTTCAAAGTCGTAACGAGGGAGAAAAAGATCGCGCTAAAGACAATAATCAAGTTCAGGACATGGAAGAAGATTCAAGCGAGGAGGATGACGTTTCTCCTCCGGGCGACTCCCATAAATCGAAGGATTCCAAGCCGAGGGATAGCATTCAGCCACCACCGTTGCCTCCGACTCCAGGAAACGTGGTGGTCAAGAAAGGCTACGATCCTAAGCAACATGCCACAAAGACGACTAGACCGGTTCCTCCGGACGAGTATCTGATCTCTCCTATAACCGGAGAGAAGATACCGGCTAACAAAGTCCAAGAGCACATGAGAATCGGTCTCCTAGATCCAAGATGGGTGGAGCAGAGAGACAAACATTTGGACAAATTAGCTCAAGAAACTGTATTTGCGCCTGGAACAGCCATCGAAGCCAGCTTGAAACAATTGGCTGAGAGAAGAACCGATATTTTCGGAGTCGGGGACGAGGAAACAGCTATCGGAAAGAAGATTGGAGAGGAAGATAAGAAGAAGGACGATAAAGTCACTTGGGACGGTCATACTTCGAGCGTGGAAGCGGCTACCCGCGCCGCTCGAGCTAATATAACTTTGGAAGAACAGATCCACCAGATTCACAAAGTAAAGGGGCTTCTTCCGGATGAGGAAAAGGAAAAGATAGGTCCTAAGCCGGCTAACAGAGCGGCTGAGGCCTTTAACATGGCTGCAGCTGCGGCTAAACCCCAGGCAACTTTGAAAGCTCCTCCAAAGCCTCCTGCCCCGAAACCAGTTCCCGTTCCTACACAACCTCCACCGCCTCCCACCATGGGAATGCCTACTATGGGTCAAGCTATGGGACAAGCTATGGGGCAGACCATGGGCATTCCTCAATCGATGATGCCTCAAGCGCCCATGATGATGATGGCGCCTATGCCGACCATCAGACCGCCACCGTTAATGACACCGGCGATGTCTCCGTTTATGCCAACTCCACCTCCCATGCAGCCACCAATGGCTTCGGCCATTGGATTGAAACACACGGCTGAACCCATGGAAGAAGAGCCACAAACGAAGAAACTAAGAACGGAGGATTCATTGATACCCGAACAACAGTTCTTAGCTAGAAACAAGGGTCCGGTTCAACTAAACATCGCGGTTCCATTGATGACAGAGAAAGCCGAATGGAAACTGAATGGGCAGACGTTAAATATCACTTTACAATTAAGCGACACAGTGGGTACGATGAAAGCTCTGATTCACGAGCAGACGGGAATGCCGCCCGGGAAACAGAAACTTCAGTACGAGGGAATGTTCTTTAAAGATAGCAACACTCTTGCTTACTACAATTTAACATCGGGGAACGTAATTAATCTATTACCAAAGGAGAGAGGTGGCAGGAAGAAATAAATAGAAGTAATGTCTACCTACCAATTAATATAATGATTTTTAAAACTTCGTTTCGATTATTGAACAATTCATTCTAATTAATATTAACATATGGTAATCTATTATAGTTTTAACAAAATGTTAAGAAAACACATGTCATCAATTTAAATAAGGGAGACAAGAAATAAAATGAGGAAACGTATTCTAATTTGATTATTTAGTATTATAGAATATTATATATCCTGTACCATAGTATTGTATGTATATACTATAATACAGATCTGGCGATGACTATAGCCTAGTGATCACATATGTTGTATTTTCATACACGAACATATATATGCAGATAATTTGTCATTAGACGTGACTGTTTGAAGTATGAGTTCAACATTAATTCATTTAATTACTCATTATTATGCAACAGTTGGAAGATTTCTCTATTTTCGATGAAACAGTGCAAAGGTTATATTATCATCAATAATAACAATGATAAGCTTATCTTAAATGGTAGCTGAAAATATTACCCAACTATGTTTTTTGCTATCAATATCCACAGTTTCATTTTGGTTCCCAAAGAAATTAGAACAAGTAAAAACTGTACATGACATTCCTATTATGTATTAAAGAAACACCAGTGAATAATTGCATTTATATGTTACTCATGTGAGTGTATGAAATGTACCATATTGATAGTTTTAATAGGGTACCATATGTAGCATTTATTTTATATATATTTGCAGATTAATAATTATCAAGCTAAGTAAATGTACTTATATTTTTAATAATGGGAGCCACAGCTAATTCAACATATTTGGGATTTGACCTAAGCACGCAGCAGGTAGACTACTGTTAAATGATCATTGTTGTGTATTATAGTTTAAATGAAATAAATAGATAACGAAGCTTTATCTTTGCAATTCACAGTTGAAGGCAGTGGTAGTAGATAATGATCTGAACATCCTTCATCAAACCAGCGTTCAGTTTGATAATGATCTTCCAGAATTTAGGTAATCATTTGGTTTCTAAGGTAAGCATTTTTCTACAAAACTTATATGTACGGAAACAATTGTAGGACGTATGGAGGAGTTATTCAAAAGAAAAGCGAACCACACGTGGTGGTAGTTCCTACTTTAATGTGGGTCAAAGCGGTAGATATGATATTAGACAAGTTAAGAGTCTGCGGAGTGGACTTCAGTAAAGTAGCTGCGATCTCTGGCTGCGCACAAGTAAACTGATAATATCATATGATATTACAAATATGATTGGGAATTCGATGTTATTTGTAATTAATTTACAGCAGCATGGAACTGTTTATTGGAACAGAGGGAGCCGAAATCAATTGAAACAGTTAGATCCAACTAAATTTTTACACGAACAACTAGCAACATCGTTTTCTATTCCGCACTCACCGATTTGGATGGATTCCAGCACTACTAAAGAATGTAGAATATTGGAGGAGATAGTTGGAGGTCCGGAAGTGAGTTTTCCTCCGGTAAAAATAAATATTTTATCACGATGCCTCGCTTACTCTAATTATTTGTGATCTACTTTAGAAATTGGCAGAAATAACCGGCTCTAGAGCGTACGAACGTTTCTCTGGTCCTCAGATAGCTAAAATAGCCAGAACCAAGTCTGAAGCTTATAACAATACCCAAAGAATCTCGCTAGTTAGTAGTTTCCTGGCTTCTATATTTTTAGGCGATTTCGCTCCCATTGATTTTTCGGATGGTTCAGGGATGAATTTGTTAGATATCAATAAGAAAGATTGGGACGACGTTCTGTTAGAGGTAATTAAGCTGTCGTATGTATGTAACAATGCTCAAATAATTGTAAATGATTGTAACTGAATAGGCTTGTGCATCGAATTTAAGAGAGAAACTGGAGAAACCAGTTTCCACTTGCACGAATATCGGACCTATTTCCTCCTATTTCGTGGAACGATTTGGATTCGATGATAATTGTAGGATAACAGCGTTTACTGGAGACAATTCTGGGTCTTTAATCGGTACCTAATATTTCTGTCTTACGATTTATATTTAATTATCGTAATAAATATCGTAAATACTGTAGGAATGAGATTGAAACAAGGAGACATCGCCTGCAGCCTTGGGACAAGCGATTCATTATTTTTGTGCTTAAATAAACCGAAAACTGCGTTGGATGGACACATTTTTTGCAATCCATTGGACGATGAATCTTATATGGCGTTATTGTGGTAAATATACGTAGAAATGGAACAAAATCAGGATTTTAATTGTGCCAATTTTTTATTTTATATTCTCAGCTTTAAAAATGGTTCCCTGACCAGGGAAAGAATTCGCGACAGTTCGGCCGAAGGTTCTTGGAAAATTTTTAACGAACTATTAGAAAGTACCCCGCGGGGAAATTTTGGGAACTTGGCCTTGTACTTCGACTACCAGGAAATTTTACCATTTTTAATTGGCGATTTTAGGTTTAATAAGGCTAATGAAGAAATATCTAGGTATAGTTCAAAAGAAGTTGAAGTTAGAGCTTTGATCGAGGGCCAGTTCGTAGCCAGAAGGGCGTACGCAGAGGATTTTGGATTCGTCATCGGTCAGTATGACTTTAATTTTATTCAATATATTTAATTGTCTCTAGTGTATTCCATGATTTTATCAGGACCAAATACTAAAATAATCGCTACCGGAGGTGCCTCGACAAATAAATCGATATTACAAGTACTTGCAGATGTCTTCAATTCTCCGGTCTATATATCGGTAAATTATTATAAGTGTAGTATCGTGTAAGATAGTTATGTTGATCATTTTTAATCGACGACTATAAAAATGATTTAAATAGGAAATTGCCAATTCGGCCATGCTCGGTGCGGCTTGTCTTGCAAAATATGTTCTGTTGAAGAACCAGAGTGATTTTAACGAAGTAACTAATTGTTTAACTCAACCCAAATTAATATGCAAACCGTATGACGATGCTGACTCTGTAAGTAGTTTCTACTTCGATTAAAGTTGGTACAGAATTGAAAAGATACAATCACTTTTCAGATCTACAAATCGATGGTCGCACGTTACAGAAAGATTATTGAAAAAGTGAAAAACAAGAAATGAAAGTACAAAGTCAAGCATAATTATGGGTATGATATATGGGTTGATGTACTACAAAGAGGGCCTTTTCACTTAGCATACAATTCTTAATATTTTATTTAATATAATTTATTTTATATTTTAAACAAAGGGTCTTTTCCGAAGCTTTATTACTGTTACAACTGGTATCATTACTTGTATTTCATATTTAATTCGTTGCATTTATAGAGAATCTACGTGACTAAATTTAATCGCTTTTATACAGAAAATGTACATGATCAGAGAGCTATTTAAATACGAAATATAATAACTGTATTTTGGTATTTTATTGCAATTTTACTGCTAAACTTTTTATATATATTATTTCAGGGTGAGAAGAAATCTTTTTTATGACATGTCATGCTTTTTCATAATAAAATAGTTGGATAACAGAAACTTTTGTTTTAACCTCGCCTCCATGATCTCCCCTCCACATTGTTATATCAAGGCACTGGGCACTGACGGGTGACTGACAGCACTCACTGTGCCACTGCCACTGACCAGGGTATTTAAATTGGTCATATATGCAGCGAGTGCTTCCAAACTTCAAACAGTCAGACAAAGAAGTGAAAGTGTTCAACTAACAAGCTATTTTTTCGAAAAGATGCCTAGCTTCTTCTTTTACACTTTGTTCTACGTTTTAATCTCAGGATGTATCGTATATCCACCTACGGAATTTGTTACAGCCGGGCTAACCATCAAAGATATATTTTCAAGTTGGATAGGCAGCGAAGATAAATCGTTCGTGCAATATCATATACGAAGAAGCGTCATCACATTATTCGTGCATTCTGCCCTTCCATTCGGTAAACGAATTTAGCACTTGCTATACGTGTAATATTGTTGAATCTAATGAAAATTAATCTTCCTCCTCGATCAGGTTACGGTTACGGTTTAATTCTATTCGAGCACATAAATATCTCGAATTACTTCACGCTCTGGTCGATATTTATGGTTTCCACCGTGTTAATACCGATTTATACTTTGTATAAGATTTGGGACTGGTCGAAAGACAATTGGAGCGAACACCCGATAGCAAAAAACCTTGTTATTTATTGCAACAGTGGTAACAATAATACCACTGCACAATGGAGTACAGTCGCTTCTGATATTAACTCAGAATACGAGAGGTTGCGTATTGAATATAAAATCTGATTGATGATAAACAGGTTTGGGAAGAGCTGAATCTTGACATCTTATTTTAGGCCTGATAAAATAATAATCCCAACGAGCAGTATATCGTTTGTAGCAGTCACTGACAATTGGATAATCAAGGTTTTACCTTATACAGTAAACATAGCTCATCAAAGTGATGCAGTTCTGATCGTTAACAAAAGTGATACCCATGAAATGTCCCCGATGACAGGAAGAGAGATTCAGTTTATTAACATCGAGGTGAGCTCGATCAATTTCATTTCTTAAATCATTATAATCTCGAGGAGAATTTATATGGAACTTCTGGTTAAGGTAAAATCTTCGAGAGCAGGAGCGAAACCTTTCGACATAAGACTGAACGTGTTTCATTTTAAGAAGTTACAAGACAAGGTCTCTCGCCCTATCACTATATTACAGAACATAAAGTTTCAGAAGTCCTTACTTGATAAATTTATCGACAACTTTAAAGAACAAGTGCAAGAGAATCCGTATTACGAGTTCACAGAGGTATTTTGCCGTTCATTCATACAGCATTTTATTTTAATCATTGAAGTAATCACGATACTTGGATTTAAAGGAATTGGAACAGTGCATAGGATGCATGCAAGCATCATCAAATGTAAAATTGAACAGACAATGCACCAGTGGGATAGGAACCGGAAATCCAGAGGACTGTATGGTTTGTTATTGTCGTCCGATGTGGTGCATAGATTGCATGGCGAAATGGTTCGCATCGAAACAAGATGAGGACGCGCCCGAGACATGGTTTTCTTCTAAATGTACTTGCCCAGTCTGCAGAGCACGATTTTGTATATTGGACGTATGTCTAATACGATCCGCTCAAATGTAAAAACTATTATTTTAATATATAATTCTGTAAATATTTCTAAGCTCATTTTTGTTATCGTTTGAACATTTCACGTAGCGATGAGACATACAAACAATAGTAAAAAAACTCTATAAGTTTTATTTCTCCGTACCTAAATTAATTTTATCAACATGCATACGGACGTGAAGTAGCAATTTATTATAGAGTAAAATTAGAAGAGTCGTTGTAAAGTTTTAAAATAATTTTATTATATGAACAATATAATATGGAGATTTCAAAGTCCCGTTTTTCGGCAGACGCGCTCTCCCCGTTTCCAAGAAACTCGATAGGGGTGGCTTGGAAGCGGGTCAAGCGTGGCCAACGATAACGCGGAACTCTGCGATGAACAGAGATTTAACAGAAATTTTTGATGCAAATCGTCGCTTAAAGTTATTCGTCTTCTTCTTCCGTGCCAGTCAACATCGCGATCAGACTGTCGGTGTCAATGAATCCTTTGTCATCAATGAACATATTATCATAGGCATTGTCGACCTCCTTCGAGGTAAATTTGTCACCGTACGTCATTAAAGCGTGCCTCAATCTAGAGCAACGAAAAGATTTAACGAAATAGATATCAAACATTCGGTGTTTATAAGACCAACGGTATATACCTTTCGCCATCGATTTTACCATCGACGTCGAACGTTTTAAAGGCAGCGATCACGATATCGTCGTCGTCGGTACCTAGTACGCGAATCAGATATAATTAAACGAATACAGCATACAGATTCTTAGCGATCCTACTGTTACGCTCATAAGTACGTTCGTAATACCTGATCCCGACATGCGAGTCGCAAAGAGATTCAATAATTGAGTGAAGTTGATGGGTGCGGGAGCTTCGGCTAACATGTCATCGATGTCCTTATCAGTAACGAGTTTACCAACACTGTCGAAAGTTGCGCGGAGATCGTTCTTTCCAATCACACCATCCTTGTCTTGATCCATTAGTTGGAATGCCTGAAGGAAATCGACTCATTGCTTATACGCGATCTACGATTTTCTCGTCGCGAAGGATTCAAGCGTATACCTCTTTAAATTCGGCAACTTGTTTCTGAGTAAACATAGAAAACACACTGGATCCAGTGCGTTTCGCCTTACGGCTACCACGACTACTTGCTCTAGTAGAACCGGATTCTTTCGGTGTACTACTAGGGGTTGCTGGTTTTTCTTCTGGGGGTGGTGCGGGAGCTGGTTCTGGCTCGGGCGGAGGAGCCGCCGGCTCCTCCTTCTTTTTGGTCTTCTTCTTCTTCTCTTTATCCGCCTGTTATTAATTAATTGCAGCATGTACTTTCGAGCTCGAATACGTCTCCACGTTTTATCGAATCATTCGGAATCGTATCGATGAATGAAATTCAATTAAAAATTTGTAATTACTCGCAAAGTTCAAAGCATGGTATTTTGAAAATTGTATTGATGAAAACCGATAGATCGAGATAATTGCATAATTAGAATATAATGGGCCAGTTATTATTTAATATGGAGCTGGCAGTGGAGGCTGGATTGAATAACGTGGAAGAAAATTCGGAAGGCGTCGCTCGTAAGAGTTAAAAATAGGACCATTCTATAGTTGAAAAGAAGCCAAGACAAATATAGACCGTTTTATTCCGTTCGGCCTCTCGAGTTACTGAAGTTACGTAATTCCTTTATTTTTATATCGAACGCTGGCTATTGCCATGTACCAATTTATTTATATTTAACAATATAGATTGCCCGCTAACAGAAGAGGATCTTAATCTCTACGCAGAACCCTCGTTTCGACTGCGTAATTACGTGTAAACCGGAGTCAGAGAAATCCGTAACTTGCTTCGAGTATCAAAGTCAGACTTCGGGTTTTACGGTATGAAAAATAACTATGGAATGATTATTAAACTATGGAATGGCCAAGTGCCAAGAATCTAAGGAATGACACTGTTTGCACTGCGTTGACACAATATTGAATATATCCAAGGGGTGCGACTCTGCACTCTGTTGCATTCTTCACTAAGTTCTACGTGGTTCTTCGAGCTCTTTAAGAATTACCCCTCGTACAACAGGTCGAACATGTATTCACCACTGGTCACGTGTACATGTAACATTTTCCTGCCTTTACATCCTGTCGTTTTTTTTTTCAAAGAAATCGAGCGGAGAGAAGACCCCTCTGATCGTTCGTATCCGAGATCACGGTGGTACCCCATGGCGCGTATTCGGTCCACTTACCATGTCTACAGTCGGTTTCTAAGAGGATGGTACACGAGGTGGTCACGACGAACCAACTGTCCGAATCATAGAGGTGAACTTGTCTAAGTAACTTTGGTGGATCTCCCCCACTACATGGCTCGGTGCTTGAGCAGGGGTGCCTTGCCCGGGTATAACGCCAACGCCTATCTGACCATATTTAGTGCGAGCCGCCTCAAAATAGCAACCCTTTCGACGTTTCGACTAAAACAGTTTGCCGATGATCGTGCGAACCACCGAGGAACCCCGCAGCCCTTTTCCGTACTTCAAATTCGCTTTACATGGCGAAAAACGTCTATCGAGGATGCTCCTCTCAAAGCCCTTTGGGCGACCCCGTGTCTTGTTTCAAGATCATTCGAGCTATCACGCTTCACGAGCTTCTTCTTCTCATCCGAGATTCGAGTTCCACGATAAAAATATGTTTAAGAATCGCTTTCTAAGGCTCAGGCGATGGTCCCGTAACTTGGTACCGGAAGTGGTGAAGAAATCCTCTTCCCTCGCCATTTGCGGTCATTGGTATGAGGATGACACATTGTTCCAATTCCATTATAGTACCGATAGAACTGTGAAACAAGAATTCGTGACAAGAGCAACTCTTCTTTGAGGAATGCGATTTCGGTTATTAAAGTATGCAATAATAATATGTATAACAGTATATGGTAACACGAATTTCCGGTTTGTGCAGCGGAACGAGTAAAACACGTGGGCACTATAAATAACTGTCCGATATTTGAGAACAGAAAACATTAGCGTATTTTGAGTGCATCACCGAATTATATCTATCCGATATGTCCATATCAAGAATTTGTTTCAGAATAGTACAAAGAAATAAATGCATTTATAAGAATTTTATAGCTGAATGAGTGGTTCCAATAATAATCCACCGCGATATAATTAATCGTTTAATTATGCGCACAGCTCGATTTAATATTAGAATCAGCGCTGGGATAAATCGAATAAAAGTTCAGAACGCATTGATTGTATTATCGCTCTAGAAGGACGTGTTTTTAATCATTTTATGACACGAACACGCGTACGACTTCGTATCATTGTCTTCTCAATGGGAAAGTTACCTTTTTCGTGAGGGAACTCCCACCACATCGTTTCAGAGAAATAAGAAAGTAGAAGTAGCGTTGCCTTGACTGGTTCTCGTTCTAAGGTAAAGGCTCGACGTAACTTAGTTTAGGTCGCCGATTATTAATATCGAAAGGAATGTCCGAGCATGAATCAGTCTAGAAAAATTTATTAAACGCGTCTCACGGTACGACGAGATGTGGCGAGTATTTCTACTGAACTGCAGTAAGCATGAATATTTGTTAATGTTCTCGCGATACTCCCGATTAATTATCGTATAATATTTTATAGTTACTATCGGGTATTCTCTGCGTCTCGCTGCATACATTTCCTCTGGCGGACTTCACGGAGAAATCAGATTCGAAAAAGCTACAGAGACTTCTGTGAGAATTCGATTTTCATTACAAACCACTCTCCAATACCCGGACCAGCAATGGATTTGGTCGGTCACCCAGTTTCCCGTCGATTACACGCTTATAAGCGACAGATGCAACAGGCAATACGTTGGCGAGAGGTATTTACTTGAATTTAATATTATAAGAAACAGTACAATATTCGATCAAACGTTATAGTATCATCGATCTGACGGAGCTCGTCGGACCGCTTGAAATGCCTGGAAATGAAACGGGATCCGTAGAAGTTACGGGTGTAAGCTTAACCGGGGAGACGGGTCTGTGGGGCAAAGGTCTATTGCTTCAGGACACGTATTCATCCAGGACCATTTGCGCTTCCATTACGGTAATCTTTACATCGCGATGCAAAACCATGTTGAAACAATATGGACTGTACGTTCGTAGGTACTCGAGAGAAATGTAGAAAAGTTTGCCGAGGCTCGATTTCACGAAACTATAGCAGGAACCGTCTGGTTCCGCTGGCTAGGTGGTCACGCGGGCGATAGCACCAGCGATACGATAATGTACGTGGATCTCCATCACGTTAACAATAAAAAGGTCCAAGGTGTAAATTACACGGAACATTATTGGAAAATTTACGTGACCGACATCTTCGATATTAGCAAAGGTATGATCTTCTTTAAACCCCGATGTTGTATGTTGATTACTGCATAGTTATCGTTTAGACAAGTCGAGCTGCAACATCTTGCAAACTGTGTTTGACCCCGATAACGCGGGTGACGGGAACGGTATTGGTGATATCGACGCGCGTTTGGGGAAAGTAAAAGTAGCCGCGGATCATCATAAGAGATACAAAACTTTGTATAAAGATTCGAAACTGTCTTTACTACCGGCTGATTTATTGGGTCCACAACGCCAGTTATATTTAGTTATATTCCATCCGAGGCACGAAGATTCATTCCTACAGTGCAGCAAGATAACTCATAGGAAACCTACTCTAGTTAAGTAAGGAAGATACCTGTCTCTTTAGGTACTTCCATTTGCACCTCGAATTGATTTTCAATTTTTTAGAACCTTCGTTAATTCCCATGGGATTAAAGGAGAAGTGTCGTTGACACAAGCGACTCCGTTCGATCCAACGTGGGTGAACGTGTCGTTAACGCCAATCAATGATTTAGAAACAAGATTACGATACGCTACCAAGATACAATCTTATAGTATTCATGAACTACCTCCAGATCCGATCCAAATTTCGAACAACGATGCTGCAGTTTGTGAAACAGTTAAAGGGATATATAATCCAAATAATGTTAACATCACGACTGCACCACCGCCGGGTAAATCAATTTGTTTCAATCGAATCTTTAATATACGGAGAGTAATTTTATTGATATAAATCAGGATTGGGAACTCAAGATCAATACGCTGTCGGTGATCTATCTGGGAAACTGCAAGGTCGTAAGGAAGGATCGAATCATCAAGATATTTTACCAGGAAGTGCAAAGCTCAGTGGAATTTATTGGGACACGTATCTGCCACTATCGGGGGTATACAGCGTCGTTCACCGAGGTCTCGTTCTCCACAAGTAATTCTTGTTTCTATATAATAAATTATGGTTCATTAGAATTACCTAAAGTTTACAGAGGATAGTAGGGACTATGGAGAAGAGAGTGTTGTAAATGTATGAGAGCATGAATGGAGGAAGGAATGAATAAGTATAAGAATAGAAAAATGTAAACCAAGTCCTATTCTCAAGCCGATAAGACTAGAATAAATAAATATATTATTAGTATAAACTAACTTTATACAACGTCTTCTCTCTGTCAGGTATAACGAAACCGATGATAAGAGCGTCGTGGCATGGCTGTGCGGCACTTTAAATTTATATTTGCCAGATAACACTGGACAAATGCCTATGATAACTGCGCAGGTAGTATACAGATATCCTATCGTCGGGAAAATAATTTTCCGTCAGCCAAAAAATGCCCCCGAAATGGATAGCACGATCATAATCGAGCATTTAATTCACGCGGATGGTAATGCTTTAAATAATTCCGCATCTCACAGGTACGATATTTGCAAATATCTTACAAAGGATAATACCGAAGATTATACTCTACTTTAACTGATCACGAAAATCTAGGTGGATGATTCACGACAATGCACCGGGTAAAGATTTTTACAACTGGACTGGCAGATGTTTGAGTACCGGCGATCCTTACAACCCGTACAAAGTAAAGTACATACACGTGTTTTACGTCTACGCTTATATTTTAAAGATCTAATATGATGAACTTACCAGGTAGAGTGGAAATCAAATCCTAGCGAGTATTGTTCCACGTTAGAAATAGCGTTGTGTCGCTTGGGTGATCTAACGAGACACGGTACGATCGATATCGCTGGGAAGAAATTGTACGCAACTCAGATAACTCGAAAATTATTCACGGATACAATGTTAACTTTATCTGGTCCTAACAATATACTGGGAAAGAGTTTAGTGATATACGACGATAACGGGCCGCGCGCTAGAGGGGAGAGACTGGCGTGTTCAATGTAAATGAAAGAGAACTTCGTTTCTCTTTGCTATCGATACAATTATCATTTTTTTATTAGGATTCATCAAACGTACCGTCGTAAAGCCGTAGCGAAGGATTGGTTTGGAAACGGGCAAACTATTCCTCTAACAATAAGAGGCAAGTTGGAATTCCTACAGCAAAGTGAATACGATGTTACGAATGTTGAACTGAATTTAGATGGTCTCGATGGAAAAATGAACAGATATCACATACACATGGTAATGGAAACGTGATCACAGTTCTTCTTCGTATTCTGATATTTATTCTATTTTACGGATTATAGACTTCGGTAGAGTCGGATTTGGAATTCCCTTGTGAAAGTACATCATTGTATGAAACGTGGGATCCGTTCAATGTCAGTACAAATGTTGTACCGACTCCTGGCGAGGGTACAACTGATCAATATAAAGTGGGAGACCTCAGTGGAAAATTTGGCACTTTAGAGAACAGGAAGAGATACATGACAACCTTTAACGATACTTTGCTTCCTCTGTTTGGACCAAGAAATATATTAGGACGAAGTATCGTGATTCACAAGAGAGAGAAGAATTTCAGGTAGAATGTACCAATCCGAATAGTTGAATATTTACATATGATCATACTTTTTAAGGTGGGCTTGTTCGACGATAGAAAGAGGATATTCACCGTCCGAAGCCACGGAACTAAGAGCAATTGCTTCTTTTCACCACCCACAAGGTTTCGCCTATGGCTACATAAGAATGGTACTGCAGGTTTATAAAAATTTTAAATACAAAATGTGACTCGAGTTAAAAATTGCAGTCGCAGCTTGTTCATCAAGACGGTAGTCACAGCGAAACAGTGATCGAAGTGAAATTGCGGCATCCAGGAAAACACGACCGCAATGTCGTGAGTATTTAAAAGATGTGAAACGTATTTGAAAAGATTTTGATAACGAAACTTTGTAGACGAGAAATCATAACTGGGCGATATACGTAAATCCTGTGGGAGTGGATGCATCTGTTAAAGTAAAGGATACCAGATGTGTAGCTGGTGGATACATGTGGAATCCTTACTTCACTCAATTGGCCGACCCTTTAAACGTAAGATCTATTAAGACCTCGTATAATTTCTTTTATAAAGAAATTAATTTTGTTCGCAGGATCAATTGTACAGACAAGAATGTGGTCCCGATTTACCGCTTAGATGTTACGTGGGAGATTTATCAGGACGATTAGGTCCCATTGACATAGGATTAAAGAGACAAGTGTTTTCGGACTCGAATTTTCCTTTAGGAGGACCAATATCCGCGATTGGAAGATCTATCGTTGTATTTGATGCAGATTTCGGCAGCAACAGATATGCATGCGCTAATATCGAACCAGAGAATGACATCGTCAAATATACTAATATAAGAAAACCACCACGTTTCGTAGTGTGAGTACGCATATAATGTCCATCACATGTTCTCGAGCGGATATTCGATGAGTTCTTTGTTTAGGGCGCAATTTTTGGAAGACATAAGGAAAATTATGGGCATTCCAGACTGGATGTTATCTATAGATAATAGGAAGACTAAAACTCTGCACAATGGAGCATGTATTCAATTTTTACTACATTTTAAAGGTGATTAACGAAGTATGCAATTGTTGAAAGTTATACTTATAATTCTATAACGTATTCGACAGGTCCAATTACCAGTAAGCTAGAACAAGATTTCAACAAGCTTCTGTCAACCGGAAAATTAGAAGCACCTAGTTTATATATTCCAGGATATGTTCCCACAAAACGGAAGGCAACCGTGGGCTATCGTCAATGCGGAAATCACGATCCACACGAGAAAAGTAACAGACTACATTTTACACGAAATATTATGATATTTTTATTCGATGAATAATGAGTATTTAAATATTTTCAGACTTCAAGAATTCATTTCGAAGTAATGCTTCAACGCTATATCCAAAGTTCTCTTTTATTATCTTCTCCATCTTAATTAATGTAACATACATCCTCAAAAGCGTTTAAATCTTAGTCGTAATCGTAAAAACATAATTCATTTGTACATAACGTTATTATACATAAATATCCATACATGTTATTTAGTACTTTTATAGACAAATATCATTTTACGTGTACATATACACATCTATTCTATTTATATATGTACGATATATGCATTCCAGGAACTGACTTATTAAGTACCCTTGTTTGGTCTTTCTCCAAATATTGCAGTACCAACTCTAACGCTATTGCTCCCCAACTCTATCTGCAAGATTTATTTGATATTTAGATATCATCGAACGTTTCCTCAACTGTGAGAAGGCAGTAAGTTTCTATTGAAATTACCGCGTGTTCATAATCACTGGACATTCCCATTGATAACTCTATGTCCTTCGAATCTATAGCTAATTCCTTCGAGACTAGTTCTTTGCATTCTTTCAAAGACAAGAAATCAGGGTTCGGTCCATTACTGACATCGTACCCGTACATGCCTATGGTCATAAGTCCAACAAATTTCAAGTTCTCACAATTGTCAAGAATATGTTTTACGAGGGTACAAACATCGGGAATTTCGCAACCACTCTTTTCTGAGAAATTGACAGACATTCAAGCTTATCTTCAATATAAGTGTTCGCTCAACAGTAGACAATAAATAGTACCTTCTTCCTTACTAGTATTGACTTGGACCATTACATTTAATTTCAAATTTAGATCACTTTGCTTTCGAAATTTCGGCCAAGAATTATTTAATGCCGACGCTAGTTTTTCACTGTCTACCGTTTCGATCATGAATAAATTTGGAACGCTCAATACTTTGTTTACTTTGTTACGTTGCAAGTGACCGATAAAATGCCAACGTATATCGGCACATGTTTCCAAGATACTTGGATGAGTAGACTTTTCTACTAATTCATTAACATAATTCTCACCGAAATGTTTTTGACCAGCTTTGTACGCGTCCACGATTAAATCAACTGGCTTTATTTTACTTACGGCTACCAAACGCGGCTCGAAATACTTGTACTCCTACGAATAAAACATTCGAATCTGATTTATTACTTTAATTACTCGCCTGACATTCTTTTCGTAAATGTACGAACATACTGCCGGTCTCCTAAGGGAAGCAGCAATAATTTTATCTCGTACTGTTTCTAAATTCACTGATATCTTTGCCATTTTCATCAGTTTATAGCACCTTTGACAACAATGACGTCTGTTATCAATTTATCACGATCCACGATACTGCCACGATACTATTATCACCAGTGTTGGGTACCTCGTGATCACTAGGCTGCTACTAGTAAGTTGTAGTGCGCACGCTCCAAAAATCGCACGGATTGCCCAACACTGACGCGAGTTTGCGACCTGTCGAAGTATTCACGTGATTCGCGTTTACACTAGCAAATTGATTGCTGACAAGTGGGCTCAGCCCATCCAACACAAATCACAGAGAAATTGTTTATTCGGAAAAATGGGAGCGTCGTTATTGCCAGTGTTATTTTTTACGTTAGTTTGGATAATAGTGGGTGTAGTTTTACCTATTTTCGTTCCGAGAGGCACCAATCGTGGGTACGTGTTTTTAATCGCGATTTACCTAAGAGTCTAAAGATTTTCAATACCCCCGATCATTTCTTTCGCTACCAGACAATAGATCCAATTGACTTTATCAATTGTGTTAAAATACTGTCGCTTCAGATCGAACGATGACATTCCTAATTTTATTTATGACATTCTAGGATTCTCCAGGTTATGCTTATGCTCACAGCGTTTACATGCTGGTTATTGTAAGTCAATGAACGTCAAATGATTTCTTAATTAAATGTTTTGTTCAAGTAGAGGATCTACTCTACATGATCACTTATTTCCACAGCTGGCTATGTTGCTATTTAGCACAGATGAATCCCTTGATCGGACCGAAACTCTCAAAAAACACGATCCTCATGATGGCACGCGAATGGGTGAATACTACTTTTCATTACGGATAACTAAGAGTGAAAAATTGTTTGACTTTGAACTTAATCATTTGAATGAAATTATTTGTTACAGAGTCATCTCCAATACGACTAAACCCTAGTAAAGCGATTGTATGGGGGCTGAAATGTTTATTTTAAATCTATGGAATTGTCTCCAAAGAGTTCTTCGAATCAGTCAAATTACGTTATTACTGTGAATACTTGCAGGTGAAATATTTAGATTAGAAATTATGGAGGGGTACATCAGACGTTATTTCAAAGTGTACATTCAATAGCATTCCTATAAATATGTTTCATAATAATTGTATATGTTCATTTAGCATAAATACATATAATATCGTTGTAAGAAAGAAATATGTACATTATGTAATAGTGGAAACTGCATTGATGAAATAATGATACTAATAATAAAATTAATTCATCTTCGGATGAAAGTTCGTTATATACATTATTTTCAATTTATATTGTATTTCTCGTATTTATTCCTTCTTCGCTTCTACGAATATTGAACGAATGATTGTATTGTGTACCGTAGACGACATACGAATAAGTTGACGGGTTCATGTTCAGGTTTGTACCGTTTGTACGAGGCGTGGCTGTGTGCGGGCACGTGAGTGTAGATGAATACGTAAAAAGATCTATAGTGTATGTATACCTTACATAAATGTGTGCGTCGAGCTCGAGAGAGGTCGGAACTTCGGAACTGTCTACTACACTGGACTACACGTATACGACGCTCGTACATAAAGCAAAAGTGACAAGTAGTGACGCGATATCAACGGAGAAAAACAATAATGGAGGCTTGTAATGCTGTGGAACGTGAAGTTGACAAAATTTTATTGAAATTCGGGGTGGTAAACGAACATGCGGAGACGGTGCTTCAAGATCTAATAAATCACATTGAATCTTTAAAAAAGGAATTCGCAGAAGGTAACTTGGAAACTCTCCCGCTGGATCTACAGTTACGTTACGTTTCGTTGACAATCCGTAAATTAGAAAAAGAGTAAAATGGTTCGAAGATTATAACGAATTCGTCGGAGAACGTAGACTAAAGACACGAAAGAATATATGGACAATGAAACAATCTGAGTACTTTCCGTACGCGTAACGTCCATACGAATTCGATGAGATTTAACCTGAAGGAGTCACTTCAATCTTTGTTTCTTGTATCCCATCGTATTATTGTAACATTTTTCTAGATGCATCGTATTCTCGTCGTTCATTTAACGTTTCGCTTTAATCGAAATGTTTCTAGAACTCCTCCGAATTCAGCAATTTAATTTTTGATGCTCTCGAATGCCCAACACTTTACCCAGACTACGCGTTGTCCCACTTAATTACAATTCTTTGTTCTGATAGCACCGGCCGATCATGAACTAACTCCGGGCCAAGTGCAAATATTGAAGGAGGCTATGAAAAAAGTTTGTGAAACTGTACACCGTTTGACCACAGAACACAGAGAACTGCATGGTTCGGTTTCGAAAGTAGGGAAAGCCATAGATAGAAATTTCACTGCTGATTTCGCAAGTACGAGCAGGGAAGACGTTTTCTCTGGCCCAGAGAAGACGCATCTTTTGAATCAAGTTATTTGCCAACACTTCTACCGTCATGGTATGTTGGACATTGCAGCAGAATTAGCAGCGGTAAGTTTATACGGTCCTATTTTTGTGTTTAGTTCGATTGTTACAGGGGCAATAAAAATTACAACGGATCTGCTATTGTAGGAAGCTGGAATTAAATCAGACGAAGGGACGAAGGAGCCGTTTACAGAATTGAACTACATACTCGATTGTCTGAAGCAGAGGAACCTCGAACCAGCGCTCGAATGGGCCAAAACGCATAGAGAGGCACTTCTGGCACAAGTATGCATAACTTTCGTTGCCTCCTGTTACTACCCTTGAGACGTTGATATCGAACATTGTTCGCAGAATTCCTCCTTAGAGTTTAAGCTGCACAGGCTACACTTCATAAGACTGATTCAGCAAGGCCCTAGCAAACAGTCCGAAGCTATAGCGTACGCTCGACAAAATCTTACACAATACGTCGGACGTCACGGGAAAGAGGTGCAAGCTTTGATGGGTACTCTACTTTATTTACCAAACGGAATACAATCATCCCCTTACAGTCACTTGTTGGATCCTACTCTGTGGCTAGATATTCACGATGTATTTACTCGGGAAGCGTGCACGTTATTCGGTTTAAGCGTGGACAGTCCACTTTCCGTTTGGTACGTTGGTTCTTTCTTGGGAGGGTCCTTTAATTTATGAATTGATTAAAAGTTTTTCACGTTGTGTTTTAGTATTAACGCTGGCTGTACTGCGCTACCAACGCTTTTGAATATCAAGCAAGTGATGCAACAGAGGCAAGTAAACACCGTTTGGAATGGAAAAGACGAATTACCGGTAAGTAGCGAGAATCATTAGAAGGAATCGAGTTATTCGAATCGAATGATCCTTCTTACAGATCGAAATAGATCTCGGCAAAGAAGGACGTTATCATTCTGTTTTTGCGTGTCCGATCTTGAGGCAACAGAGCACAGAAAATAATCCACCAATGAAACTGGTTTGTGGACACGTTATTTCGAGAGATGCGTTAAACAAGTTGACTAACGCGAATAAGTAGGTTTTTAAATAACTTCGAGAACAAACGGTAAAAGGTGAAAAGGATAAATAACAAGAAGCTGCCTTCTCGTCTTTCAGATTGAAGTGTCCATATTGCCCGGTCGAACAGAATCCAGAGCATGCTACACTTATATATTTCTAGGTTGCTGTGATACAACGATATGAGAGAATTGTTTTTGGAGTAATTCGAGAACGTACTGCTTAAAGCGACGAAAGAGATAGATTTATAACGCGGAGTCGAATCATCGAACGAGGCATCATATTTCATCATGAACGTTACCTTTCATCTTTCTTGGCAGACTGATTTCCTCGCGTCGTCGAACCGTCAAATAGTGCTGTCTACAGCCAGTAATACGTATATGCTAATGATTTCGGTAACTATGGTCGAAATTTGTTTCTCTAGTATGTTTCAGTGTCTTTCGTAAATCAGTTATATTGACGTAAGGATCGAGACACGTTAATTCAATTGTACTTGTTTGAATAATGATTAACGTATAAATAAATAAATACACGCATATTTATTTATTTATATATATAACCACGGATGCGCGAGTGCGATAGTGTAATTGTAATAGCATTAAGTAACACATCTTTTGTATATACAGCTGTTAAATGTTAACTACCGATTAAAGTTATTTGTAATGGCATATTAATGAGATGATATATGAACGCAATCATGTCGGATTTTTATTCGCCACAGAAAATATAATATTCACCCAGAGAATTTAAAGGCTAGACTTTTCTCAATCGAGTGATGGAATACCTGTCCTCCCATACCCAAGTAGAACGATCGTTCATGTTAAACACGCAATGGTTTATTTAGATACATGCTATCGAACAACGTACACATAAATACATCATGCGTTTTAATGACAACTAACGTCGACTCGCTGAAACGAAGTTGCTCCCGCAACGAACAAGATAAGCCCACAAGATAAAGTTTAGAACATACGTAGTAGTAACGCATATCGTATCTTTCGAATCCAGGCATCAAGATCGCTAGATAAACGGTATCCTGTCCATTTCCAGAATCGATCCGCGCGCGCGTTCCACAATTCTCTTTGATACAATAATATTCCCTTGGTAAATCGTACGCTCTTGTACTTGCATCGATTAAATTTTACGCGATTACACTCACACGCAAGATCGACGAAATACCATTCTCCTTCTTGAATCTCGCTCTTCTCCAATGACTACACAAGCGGATTCAAATCGGACCCATATACCAGCTGGTGAATTAAGTTATACGGCGTGTTTGTACATATATACGTATATATATGTACGTTACAGTAATTGAGCCAAAGAAATGTGTTATATTTTATATCGATTTCAGAGACACGCGCTCTTTGCGCGCATTACCCATTATAGTTATTGAATAGGAGTTATGAACTACATTCTTTTCATCTAATCTACATAGTTTTAGAAATGAAACTATCTAATCTACCATCTATCTTTGCTAATGTAAGTGAACGAGCCAGCGAATTCGATCGATCAAAGATATGCAATTTATCGAAGAAAATATTCGTTAAATAACAAGAGAACAATTGTGCACATACAAATATCTCTGTCCGTCTTGTGGTGATTTCAGTGCTTCACGATATCGCTTATTGTCTGTTCACAATAGCAGCTGCAGTGTCTACTTGTTACCCGCTTAATTATCTTCCGATTCGTTTGCGAGTTATCAGAGATCGCGATTGTCAAAAAAAAAAAAACGAAAAAGCAAACAGAGATTAGAATTAGTCGATCAACGATGAAAAATTACTCCTATACATATACGTCTACTTTCTATCTATTTACAGCAATGTAAACCCTTAACGATGAAGATATATACGTAGCTACATCGAGATTGATTAAGAACTTGTAACTGTACGTCCTACATAGATGCAATTACGTTGCTGTTTAATGCAGTACTATGAATATACATAATAGTTATAGAATGTAATCATCGGTCCTCCGAATCGATCTAGAATAATTTACGCGATCGCGATACCTTTCACCTTTTCCTCCTCTCGACAGAGTAGGACAAATTTTATCGTTCATCATGAATAAAAAGCGAACGGAGAATCAGGTTCAGAGGAACATGAAGCCCGCAGAATCGCTTTGTCAGAAGCCTTGTTCGATGCCCAACTTTACTCAAAGATACATTGTAATCGTAATATGTCCGATTTCGACAAACGTTCGCGAGGAATTTGCAAATCGAATTGACTCGCGTTTCATTATCGGGAGTAGGTCGGTGTTCGCATGACATAGCGTAACGCGACCTCGAGAATTCACCGGAATTCGCAATGGGAAGCTATTTGCTGAATACACGTATTCACAAATAAATATATACTTACTTAAAATATCTACATCATATTCTCCCTGACACGGACATAATATATAGTGCGTTCGTAACACGAATTTTGCAATATTCGCATATTAATATATATATGATCGATAGTTAGCAACGTTACAGTATAGATCTCAAGTTTAACATTTGATAACATTAATATATATAAATATTCGCCATAGTTATTTAATATAGATTACCTTTCTCAAGAACATACCTCATCTTTGAATTTCTAAGATCATCTACAGGCCGAAATTAAGCTTGACGACTGCAGAAATAAAGTTTGTTCAGCTGTTCAACTGCGCCCGCCTCGGAATCTGCGAGGGCAGCCATTTTGCGTGGATATCTTGCGCAATAGATTCCGTTAAGTTTCTACGCGGCGCGAGGCGACTATTCGAAGTTAACGAGTGTTTGTGATACATTTTATAAGTTACGAAGCTGCCAATGGTAATTTCATCGATAATTATTAACAGACAATCGTCCTTAATCTATCGGCTCCTCTATTTTCCGTATCGCGTGCGTATTCGCAGTAGCTTAGGATCCGAAAGCGCGCACGGCTTGTAGTCGTACCGGCTTTACGTAGTTTTCTCGATTGAACAACAATTACTTAATGAACGACAAGTGTCGTCGTTATCATAGAGCTTTCTATACACGATCCATAAGATCGTGGCTTTATAAATCTTCAAATAACTCATCGCAGCTACGAATACGTTATGTTCGTATTCGTACATATGCGACTGTCTATGTGTATGTGTGTGTGCATACGTCTACACGGCAAGTTATGTGCCGAACAAACGAGAGAGGTAAGTATTTTAACATGTCAACAGTTCAACGCATGCAATTTCATTAGAGTTTCCCACTGCGAATTCACATAAAGTTTATCGTATGATTTGCAAATTCACCGAACGTTTCGCCGGCTCCCTTTCCCGTGTACTCCGCTTATTGTTTCTTCTGACTCGATTATCCGAAGGATTTTAAAGATAGGTGCAGCTGCTATCAAATAAACATTTCATTTGATAGCTGACCGACGCATTGAACTTCGAGCATCGAGAAAACGGAGTTCGAACTTTCCCTTGTCTGTCAAAAGCAAACCCGTGAATTTCCAAACCCTGAAAACCCCTGTCTCGTTTCACGCTTACATTCAAGTTCAAAATACGTTACATCTTTAGCTTCGATTAAATTGTCGACGACTCGGAGAACTCTTCATCGTGCCTACCCGCAATTTTCTCAGGCACGGTTTCCCTGCAGCCATTCAGGGAATCCAAAGTAGGCGGTTCTCTCTAATTTAAATTATTAAGATCGATCAACGATTGAAATCTCGACGAAGTCTCGGGCTATTAAAAATTCACGGTATTCACATTTTACGAAGGGTCGTGGACATCGTACGTATTCGCATTCAAGTTATGATCCGAAGATATCTCGATAAAACGAGTCGGTGTCTTTATCGCGGTGCCTCCATCAATCGATATGAAAGTGTTATTATTTTTGTAACGCTTTTTTTGTATATTTGATTAACGCATACATTCTCTTGAACGCACACACTTATTCTTATGATCTAACGGTACACGTACAGTATATACAATTTGAACTGAACGAAGAAGGTGCATAATAGCGATTCGCTTATTCCTATATATTCCTGAAAACGTCACCCGCGCAGAGCCTTACTTTATTACATTTAACTCGTTGTTACTCCTTGCCCCGAAGGACGACGATCCCGTGTTTAGAAACGTTCGTTATCTTATTGCTCTTCTTCCTCGTTCTGGTACGTTACGTAGCGCACAGACGATTTTTCGCCGATTATCAACGACTGAAAGAAGATACGCAATCATAGTCATTAACGACATTCGTTGTTCAAAGTCTGCCAGTGTCAAAGTATATACCTTTTTCTCTTCCTTAGTTGGTGGTGCCCTTAAGAAGTACAACAACGGAGCATAAAGGAAGTTCAAAATAGCGATGCCGAATAACATCCATTCAAAGCCGATGGTGTTCACCAACGTACCACTCAAAGCAGGACCTGAATCAATGGTCAGTCATCCTCACTTTAAATATTTAAACGTCCACTCTCATTTCTGAGACGTTAGTTTTAATTATAACAAATAAAATAAACATATTGAGTAAATATATGTAAAATTCAGAAATGAGAGCAAGTCAAATCGACATGTCACAAGCATCGGTGGTTCAGTGGTAGAATGCTCGCCTGCCACGCGGGCGGCCCGGGTTCGATTCCCGGCCGATGCAAATATTTTTGTTTTCGCGCTTTACTTCGATCTTTTATTACGTACTCATTCGATTTATTTGATCATCGTTCCCTTTTTACATACGTACCAATTGCGAAACCCAAGCAGAATGCGACGTCTCCGATAGCATAAACGCTACCGTATACTGCGCTGTGACGTATGTCGACCAAGTATCCTAATTCGGGCATCATCGAACTATCTACCATTCCTATGGCAAATCCTAAACCAGCGTTAGGTACGATCAAGTGATTGATGCTTCTAGCTAACGGTATCTGTGAACGCATGTTGCATCGTATCGTATATTGCATAAAAAATAAATATAAAGTACTTAACGCGATAATCGTCGCGTGGAAACGTTTGCGAATACTTACGCACATCAAGCAAATCCCTATTACGATCAAGCCGATCAAGGCAGCTAACCATCTGTGACAAAAAGATATCTGCTCGTCAAAATGCAAAAGTAAGGCCGCCCGAACAGGGACTCGAACCCTGGACCCTCAGATTAAAAGTCTGATGCTCTACCGACTGAGCTATCCAGGCCTATGGACCAGGGCGACGGCTGGCCCAACTAGGGTTCGAATACGAGACTTACCTGCCCATTTTATGTCCGAGCGGTCCGAACAGGTTTGTACCTATCAAGTAGCTGATGCTTGCCGGTAGAAACGTGGCGCCTAGCTTCCATCTACTCGCACCCATCGTATCTATCATCCAAATCGGAAGGCTGGGCTCGAGCATAGCGATCCCCATGTTAGCAAACGTTATAGCGCCTGAAAGAACACATGGTTGATCGAAACGTTGCTGTGCAATACTTCGATACCGCGCGGTAAAACTAAAACTTCGACCTATCAGGGTTGTAAGTCTGGACTTACACACGGATGGTGACGTTGTCCTTTAGTATTATCATCAGGGAACTTAATCACCAACGACTCGGATTTTATTAATAGTAACTATGAATTATTAACACAAAAAAACACTGATTATACTTAAACAAATGAATTACTGTAAGTTATGCATGCTCGAGAGTTGTCTCAATACAAAGCACGATGCTTGATTCTAAGTACAATCTTGGTTAGACTGTCTAGCCGTACGAAGTGGCGCGCTCAAAAAAACGATTGCAGGGTGACGCTCGTAGCTAGCGGCGAAAATTTCTTTGTAGTATAAAGGGCAGACTACTATTTTTTACGAATCTCATTGGTTAATAATGAATAGGTGGGATTTTCGCCATCACTACGATGGTAACCGGCAGAACCGGGTAACCTGGGCTGGAAAAAACTCCTAAGCACAAAGACTCATGGGTCGAAAAAGGCCTGTCCGTACGGACAAAGAATCATAAACCGTGAAGGACCCATAGGCATAACGATCGTACCGGGAAGGATCTGCAAGAACAAAGAGTCAAACTGGGGAAACCCATGACCCGTTTTCTATACGGTTCTATCCAGCTCGAGGTCGCGGATTCAACCTTTTTCTTTCAAAAAAAAAAATAATACGATAATTAAATAATAATGTTTGTTCTTAATAAAAATTCCTTGATGATGGAATAGTTGCAAAGCAAAGATCGCTTACCGGCAACCAGAATGATATAAGGATCGGTGATCAGAGCTTTCAAAGACGGTGGTTCAGCCTCCGTGTAAACGACGGACGGCTGAAGTACCAGAAGCTGTAAAACTGAAAGCGAAAGATCGATTTATTTCGTCGCGACTGACTCTGGGGCAGGGATCGGGTATACTTACTTCCATCGCCAAGAGCTAAAGCAGAGAGTATTAAAAACGGTGCGGATTTCCCAACGAACTCGTACATAAAACCGCCGAACGGAGGTCCAATCAAAACGCCGAGGGCCAAACCTCCGAGAGCGATGCCCATCGCGTTTCCTCGTTCCTTATCGTCCTGGTACCTCTCGGCCAACATGCCCATACCTATGGACGTCGATTGATGCATTCTGATCCAAGCATGGACATTAAACAAATCGAGCGAGCTTACCCGAAACGCTCGAGCACGAGGAACCGATTCCTTGGAGCGCTCTCGCCAGAAACAAAATTCCATACGTTCGTCCGAACGCGAATATCAGCGTGGAAAGGAACATGATGATAAAGCCGGTAAACATGGGTATACTGTAACCGATTCTGCGAACAAGCAACAATGTGCTCAAGTACTGAAAGCAAGCTCAACCATTTGCACGTGTACAATTTAGTGTCCTCAATCGTTTGCCTACCAAGCTTGAACTTTCGATTTTAACGCTAGAACTACCGAACCAATCGCGACTTCACTACTCTATTTAATTAGTATACGAATCATTGTATCGATCACGCAAGTAGATGAAAAATCGCGTGAACTTACTTGTGAGTAAGTGGACCGACGATAGGATTGGCTAGCAATTGAACGAACGCCTTTGAGGCGAACATGACACCCACGGCGACCGTTTCTTGCACCAACTCGCGATGCCTTTGTTTTCTGTCCTCTTCTTCCGGATCGGAACTCGGATCACCGACGCTCGTGCTCTCTGCGTAAAAAGCGAATCTGTAGTCGAACGGTCGGTCGAACAAAAGAAGAGTTCCTTACCGATCGATTCCATACTAGGAAGAGTGCTCGGGTAAAGAAATTCCAACTGCGATTCGTTTGACTTGACGGGGATGCATGGACATTTCGGAGTAGTAGTTACGATATTCGTGGCGGTCGTGAGCTGAACGCCGGCGAGTGTTGTACGACGGGAACCGACGTCCCCTTCGACGCGCTCGCTCAACGTTGCGTTCGGGTGTCTTATGTCGTACAAGAACTCCGGGATAATCGGCACTGGAACATCGGGGAAGATAAGGAGGTCCGCGAAGTTCGCGAATCGATAATTGATAATTAATAGATGAGCAGACCGTTCGAAACTGTTCGAACACAAGACAATCCATGAAATCTACGTTATCACCTCGGGGGTGTAACTCAGTGGTAGAGTGTCTGCTTCGCATGCTGAAAGTCCTGGGTTCAAATCCCAGCACCTCCAAGCTGAGGAAGGTTCATCCTTTTTCCTCTTTTTTTTTTACGCTTCTCTCTCTCGACGTTGTTGCGCGAGGCACCCGACGAGAGACCGTGAGAAATTGGTCGCTACCCTTAAGAATGTATTGGCTATACAGTCAATCCCAAAAGATTATGTACCGTAGAAAAATGCATTTCCTATAATTAAAAAGAAATCAGACGTCGAAAGAACAATGCTAATAATA